CCTCCACTTGATTATAGTCGTGTTCTCGTGGCTACCATATATATCTTTCATCAATAACTGTCTACATTTATGTAACCAGATCATATTATAATGGGAAAAGGGGTATGTGCAGCACAGCTCCCTGGGCATATTAATCTTGGTTTGGCAGTAATATACTGCTGTGGTGGCTTATGTTGGTCGGAGTTAAATAGATCTACGGGTCCAGTCGAGAATATCTTTATGACCCATTTTCAGTGGAATTATTGTCACTAATCACACTTTTCTGGCATTTGGAAAAGACCATGATGTTATTTTGTAATCTGAGAAGGGCACATGATTTTCAAAAGCATACTTAGCTCAACTTTCTTTCTCTTTTTATTAATATTTTAACTCTATCTGTAGATGGTGCTTGGAAGCTTTAAATTTTTAAAATAACTTCCTAGCATTGGAGGTTTTTTATATGTTTAATGATTTATACTGTTACCCTGTATGGCTTGGCCTTTGAGAGCTATAGACCTAGCAGTGCAACTTACACATCCATCATTTTAACTCACATGACTGCTTTCATTGATTATAATGAGACTATAGTGAGTATGGAATTTGATTGTAGGTTCAACCTCAGGATTAGATCCATTCTTTTATCAACTCTTGTTTCTTCAGGTAATCTTTTCAGCTTTTTTTCTTCATTTTCACAACTGATATATAGAAGCAATAATTAAATTTAGAGTCCTAATAACAAAACACATAAAACGGACCAGTTAAAATGTAATTCATTTCCTCACATAAAGAATGACCTTTATAATTACATTTAGACTCTGGCTCTAGTGAGTTGAGATAATTTATTCTCCAGCAAAAAGAAGTTCTTTTCCACTATTATAGTACATTGTGCTGTATATAATTCTTTTCAGGCTTAGATTTTGACAGTAAGGGGAATATAATTCTTTAGTCTTCATAGAATAACTGAATTGGAAGGGACCTTGGAGGTCTTCCAGCCCAACCCTCGCCCCATCCCCCGCTCAAGCAACAGCCCCAATATAATTTCAGACAAATGCTTGTGCAGTCTCTTCTTAAAAACCACCAGTGATGGAGCATCCACAACATCTGGAAGCAAGCTGTTCTAATTGTTCTCACTATGAGGAAATTTCTCCTTAGGTCTAGGTTGGATCTCCCTTTGATAAGTTTCCATCTGTTGCTTCATGTTCTGCCTTCAGATGCTTTGGAGAATGACTCCCTCTTTTTTGTGGCAGGCCCTTAGTTATCAGAAGACTACAATCATGTGACCCCCTGGTCCTTCTCTTCGTTAGACTAGACATAGGAACCAAATCTTTTCTGTGCTCGTTTTGCATTTGCATTGGAAATGATACCTTTGGAATTATCACTCATAACTAATATTAGCTTATTTCATTACAAGATTTACTGCACACAAATCATATAACAGTGGGGAGAAGGATGGTATCAGATTTGAACATGTTTCTTTATATAATAGTGATGCCCTGCATTGTGCTGGCATGGCAATCTTTCCTAAAATGTTGTGCCAACTCAGCAAGATAAGTCAACAACACTTACTCATTTAACATTGACCCAGTGTACAGCTACTGTGGGGAAAAAAAGAAAATTTCACATTTTGGTGAATCACTAGAAGCGGAATTGGATTGTCAATAGCATAATACTTTTGTACAGTGCTGAGATGCAGCTCCCTCAAAACAGCGTGTATGGTTGTGGTCATCAGGATAACTTGAAAAGATGCAGAAAAGGACATTAGATGATCAAATACCCGAAGCAGAGGCATTTACAGGATAGCAATAACAATAGCACTTAGACTTATATTACCACTTTACAGCCCTCCTAAGCGGTTTACAAAGTCAGCATATTGCCCCCAACAATCTGAGTCCTCATTGTACCGACCTCGGAAGGATGAAAGGCTGAGTCAACGTTGAGCCTGGTGAGATTTGAACTGCCAAATTGCAGGCAGCCAGCAGAAGTAGCCTGCAGTACTGCATTCTTATCACTGTGCCACCATGGCTCAACTGCTTTCATCAAAAAGATAGACTTATTGATTGCTTCATTATAATGGAAACTCTCCATTGTTTGTACATGTATAGGATGATACAAGTGAAAAACATGGATCATGTTGTTGTGATTTTTTTCTTTATCATTTACTCTGCAGACCTGCAGGGATTTTCCTAAGGGAAATGTGTTTGAGGCTTTTTGTGTGTGTGATAATTATTATATATATGAATGGTATGAAGAAAATGGATATTAGAGTTTTTCTCCCTCTTAACAATCCTAAAACTCAGCACTCAGTGGAATTAAATGGAGGGAAAAGCAGGACACAGAAGAAAAAATATTTTACACTGGATTTAACTAACCTGAGGAATTCATTGTCATAAAATGGAATGACACCCATTAATTTGGGTCTTTAAAAAGGTGATTAGATTGATTCATGGAATGCGATTATCAGTGGTTACTACCCTCGATAGCTAGTTTTTACTTCCTGTATCTGAAAAATGGCTTGTTTGCTCAATGAGCTAAGGTGTAAACTATGATTTAAGAGCCATAGTAATTGAGTTCATGCACTTCTTTAAGCCAAATGCAAGCAAATAGAATAATGCGAAGTGCAAACCCAGTCTATGCCTCTCCATATTCATGTTTCACAATGGGAGAATGAGTGGCAAAACAAGCTATTGCGCTCATCTCCTGCTTGCTAACTCCCATGGATATCAGGTGGGCTAGTGTGGGAACAGGATGGGATACGTGGATTTTTGATCAAGCATGGGTCTTTTGATGTTCTTATCACATTCTAGATGTATTCTTTCATCAAAGAGAAAAGGATGGCAGATACTGTAATTCCTTTTGTTAGCTTTAAACTACCTCTGTTTGATAGCTTCAGTAATACAGGTAGTCCTCGATTTATGACCACAATTGAGCCCAACATTTCTGTTGACTAAGTGAGAAGGTTAAGTGAGTTTTGCTCCATTTTATTACCTTTCTTGCCGTAGTTGTTAAGTGAATCACTTAAGCTGTTGAGTTAGCAACACGGTTAAGTGAATTTGGCTTCCCCATTGACTTTGCTTGTCAGAAAGTCTCAAAAGGTGATCCCATGGCACAGCAACTGTAAACATGAGCCAGATGTCAAACATCTGAATTTTGATCACGAGATCGGGGGAGTCTGCAATAGTCATAAATTTGAAAAACAGTCATAATTCGCTTTTTCAGTGCCGTTGTAACTTCAAGCAGTCATTAAATGAATGGTTGTAAGTCAAGGATTACCTGTTTAGTGTGTTAAATGAATAAAGTATGAAAAACTGAGGACAATCACCTTACAAGGCAAACTGAAGCTTTTACTGTAGATAAAAAAAGTTCCTTTCTGTCATGTTCACATCCCCGCTGAACTCCAGCTAGGGATGAGATTTATTCATACATACCTGAAGTGCACCTGTGCAGAGAAAGATGATTTAAGGGATGCTCTCTGATCAGATTCCCTTTTATTGTTGTTTTATTGGACACCTTACCAGCTGAAAACCAATTAGTTATAGTACAGCTTGGCCAATAAGCTTCCTTTTTAAATCATCAAAATAGCAGGATATCAATAGAACGAAGGCATTTATAAGATTACCATCTAGCAATGCTGCAATAGTTCACTTCTGAGCTTTTTTGCACCTATGAGTTAATTCTAGCTGATATAGTGAAAAGCGAGAGGTATTGCTTTACTCCATACGGAGGGCATTGGAATTATGAACAACTCTTTAGTTATTTGCTAAATGTACAGATACTCCTTGACTTAACCACCACAGCCAAGCCCAAAATTGCCACTGCCAAGCCATTCAAGCAATTGAGTGAATTTTGCCTCATTTTATTACCTTTTTGCCACAATTGTTAAGTAAATCATTGCAGTGGTTAAGTGAATCATGCAGTCACTAAGTGAATTTAGCTCCCCCCCCTCCTCATTGTCTTTGCTTGTTGCAAGCAGGATGGGATGGTTAGAAATGGTGATCTCATAACCCTGAGACAGTTTAAGTACAACTGTCATAAATATATGCCAGTTGCCAAATGCCCAAATTTTGATTATGTGATCATGGGGGATGCTGCAACAGTTGGTTGAAAGTATGAAAAATGGTCACAAGTCACTTTTTTTCCCGTGCTATTGTAATCACAAACAGTTGCTAAATGAATTATTGTAAATCAAGGACTATCTACGGTATATATCATTGGTGGTGAACCTATGGCACGCGTGCCTGAAGTGGCACACAGAGCCATGTCGCCTAGCACGTGCGGCATTGCCCGTTCTGGGTTTCTGGGTTTCTGGCACGCATGCGTGTGCGACGATCTGCTGACCTTTTTGCATGCAGCAGTGCCGGAAACTAGAAGAGCTGGTCTTCCATTCTCCTGCGTGAGCATGCGCACCGGCCAGATGATTGTTGTGTGTGCATGTGCGCCAAAAACTGGCTGAAACCAAAAGTTCAGTAGCTGAAACCGGAAGTTCATTTTTAGGGGGGCACATGCGCCCTGGGCAGCTCCTCTTCTGGGTTGTGGCCCAGGTGCGTGCGAGCTTCCTTTTCGGCACTCGGTGCCGAAAAGATTCAACATCACTGGTATATATCCTGCTTTTCCTTCAGGAGCTTAAGGGAGGTAACCAGCATTCCTACCTCCCATTTTCCCTTCAGCAGCAACATTGTGAGGTAAGTTGAGAGAGAATGACCCAAATCATCCCAGGGTTTAAGGTGATAATAGTTTAACCACTAGCTCATCCTGACTATCAAACTTAACCGCTGATACATCTTGGTCCTTCCTCCAATATCCATTTATCTCACAGGTGTCAAACTCGCAGCATCACATTGCCATCACATGACATTTGGCAACGTTTTTCCCTTCTCGGAGCTGGGGCAGGCGTGGCCTGTGCGTGACATATCTGGCCTGTAGGCCACCAGTTTGACACCCCTGATTTATCTGATTTCTAACGACAGCTTAAAAATGACTGCATTTGTTGACGTTACCAATATAATTTTTTTTTCTATTTTCAGACAGCAGAATTTCAGAAGATTCTGACAGAAATAGAAATTTTAGCTTTGATTGTTGGATGTTTATGCCATGACCTTGATCACAGAGGAACAAACAATGCATTTCAAGCTAAGTATGTTTCCACTATTATTTGTTTGTCTTATTTTGAAAATTAATATTTTAGAAGTTAGAGATAAGTGTTGGTTTCAAGATATGTGTAATAAAATTGCATTTCTTTCTCTACATTTCTTAAAAAGAAAACTTAATTCCTTTCAAATTATTTTTTTCATCATGACCTAATCTGCTACAAATGAATATCCATCCAACATAACATTAAATTAGGCAAAACTTTAGCAAGCATTTGCATTCAAAACAAAAGACACTTTTTACATAAATGGTGCCTTGTTTCTTGAAGACAGGCCAAGCCCCACAGAATTCAGGCTATTTTGTGGTTTGTGTGTGACACATTGACAACTTTTTGCAAGAGTTCCTGGGTTTTTATAACATGTTAAACTCTGACTGGTTGATGAGTTGGATTATACTCACACACTACTCAGCTTCCTAATAGGCAACCTCTTCCAACTACCCACATGATCCTTAGAGTTTAGTGGTCATAGTGTACTTTTTAGGAGGACTTCTTATAGGATAATTGGCTTGTAATACAACAAGATGGATTTTGCAGGGGGGTCTGCAAAGTTCTGTCTAATTTGTTATTGCCCACATGAAAGTAAGAGCTTATACCTAAACTAATTTTGTGCCTTGATTCTACTCAGATTCTACACAGACAGTTCCTTCACAATAGTCTATGTCAAAGGACTATTTTTCTGGATTAGCATGTCTCCTTAATCAACAAATTTAACGGTCTGGGCCCCAAAAATGCTTTTTTAGGAGTCAACTGGAATTTCTTTGTTTTTTCTTTGAAGACGTTTCGCTTCTCATCCAAGAAGCTTCTTCAGCTCTGACTGGATGATGGAGAATGGCAGGATTTATATTCCTTGCAGACAGCTGGTCATTTGCATTCTTTTAGAGAGTCACTGAGGCCACTTGGAGGTTTATCTATGTCTTAAGGGTCACCTGAGTAGTGCAAATGGGTGTGGAGCCTTCTTGGCTGCAGGATGTTTTCTGCACCGTTGAAGACAGGTGCAGGTTGTTGGGGCTAAGTGTGTTGGCTGCAACTCAAACTGAAGCGCAAATGGTTCCTGTAGTCTGCATTTTTTCTGGAAATCCATTCACACCCCTGAGCCATTCAACGGGTGTTTATCCGTGAGAATCTCCATAGGCATTTAATGGTCTGAGATTTTGTACCAAAGGACCAAAGTCTTTACAGGGAGAGTATAGGATTGAGGTCAGATTCTGTAGTGTCATCATCTTCTTTAGCAGTTTCAGATTATACACAGAATATATTTTGGTTTTACGATTCTGAAAGATCTCATCTGAGATAAAGGATACTACTGCTTCTGGGATTAGGCTTTGGACAGGTAATAACATTCTTTACCAGTTGGGAAAGAAAAATGACGTAGTTTGATTTAGTATAAGCGTAAAACACACAAATAGATGAATGTACATTGTAAAATGTACTTTGCAACAGGACATGTGCATTGCTTTTGGGAGGCTGAATTTCCGTCATAGAAGATTCTTAATTTTATTTGTTTTGTTTACATCTCTGTTATAAAAAAGTATTCTGTTTATGCTTAAGTTATTTTATTCCTAGCGTAGTGTTGTGCCGACACAATATGTTGGGTTTCCTAATATAGATATTGTTTATTGTTTTGGGTGAAACTGGAGCACAGATTCATTGCATGGTAACTGCTCCCATTCAGGCAATTAAGTTATCAGAAAAACAAAATTGGAGCCATACCTTCTCTAGATTTATTTTCTCTGTAATTTTTCAGCCAATGGTCACTAAGTGAACTGTTGTAACTTGAGGACTTGGAGTACAGTACCCCAAATGAGAACTTCCGTTTCAGTTAGAGACTATTTCTGCTAATATAATTCTCTGTATTAAGAATTCAGTATCAGGAGTTGCATTATGGCATGCAGATTATATTTGATACAGAAAACTGATAAACACACACAAACACACACACACACACACACACACGGCCCACCTAGTTGCTAGGCAATAGATTTCAGAAAAACCAATTAGGTCTGCACTGTTAGCACAGTACAAGGCATTAAGGAAATATGAATTTTAATACAATTCTGTATTATAACAGCTCCAGCAACACTAAGTGCAAAATAAATATATATAAAAAACCCTTACTATTCAGGACTTGGTGTGAAATGGGGGAACTTGACTATATCTTCATTTTGGGAAGTATTTTAGTTATCCAGTATAGCATGATGGTATGTGTTGTAGTTTGGCTTAATCCCATGCATATGAGGGACTATACTCATGTTTCACTGTTCTGTATATCAACTTAAGCAGAGCAAAGGTGATTGCTGTCTATGAAACTGTAATAGCAACAAGGATAGTCTTCCATTGGATAAACCAACCACCAGGTAATGGATTGACTTGGGTGCTAGAACAAGTGAGTTTGTTACTGCATCTGACAGCGCACCGTTATATTTCCCATTATATATTCCAATATTTGAGAGGCTGTCACAAAAAAGAAGGGGATAACCAATTCTTCAAAGCACCTGAGGGCAGGACAAGAAGCAATGGGTGGAAACTTATCAAAGAGAGATCCAACATAGAACTTAAGGATAAATTTTCTGACAGTTAGAACAATTCATCAGTGGAATGGCTTGCCCTTAGAAATTGTGGGTGCTTTATCACTAGAGGTTTTTAAGAAGAGATTCGACAGCCACTTTTCTGGAATGGTATAGCGCCGTAATGGTGAACCTATGGCACGCATGCCACAGGTGGCAGGCAGAGCCCTCTCTGCGGGCATGAGAGCCGTCACCCCAGCTCAACTCCACCGCGCATGCAGTCACGCCTCCTGCTGGCCAGCTGGTTTTTGGGTGTCTGCCACGCATGCGCACTGTGCAAGGTGCACACTGAAGACGTGTGGGCATGCACGTGGGTATGTGGGGAAGATATGCGCGCATGGGCAGGGGTGGCATATTACATTATGGGTGTGTGCGTGCACATGCACAATTGCGCACACGCACGCTTTTGGCATTTGGTGCCAAAAAGGTTAGCCATCACTGGTATAGGGTTTCCTGCTTGGGCAGGGGGTTGGACTAGAAGATCTCCAAGGTCCCTTATAACTCTGTGATGCTGTATTCTGTACTCTGACCTCTGTCACTCATTTATTTGCAATTGGAATCTTTTAACGTGAAAAAAAAATCTTGCTATGGTCTCTGCAAAGCCTTGCTATGAATGAAAACATGCTCTTTCTCAAAGCGATGGCTCTGGGTTCAGCCATATGGTACAATAGCTGTGTCACTATTGCTTTGTGTGTGTGCGCGCGCACGCATGTGTGCGCACGCACAACAGCAAATTACGTTAATTTTTAAAAATTCTGCAAGGGCATACCATTTTGTATTGAGTGGGTGCTTAATGTTAGGGGAATTTTTTCCCTGCACAATTTACAGAAGCTGTGTATGGGAGAAGCCAGTGAAGAATTCTTTGCTACACCTTTTGAAATAAATCATCTATCATAGTAAGGAATTTGAAGAGCCATTGATAAAAATATACCTCCATGCAAGAGGAAGCAGAAAAGCTAGATAACTCCAAAGTCTAAGGCTCTTTCTTACTGTCTTCTTTTTATCTGTTTCTCTTCTGTGGGACTGTTACTGTGCTTTTCTGCAGTAACTAAATCTGATTAACGGTGAAACAGTTACCAAGGTAGTATAAAAGCCTAGGGCTTTTGAGGACCGTTAATGGTTTCAGTGTCTAATTAAAAAGAGAGGAAGTATAATGTTAGTATGCAAACTTGTTTTGAAGAATGTACGTTTGGCCTGCAGTTCAAACTGAACTGGAACAACTACTGGATCAAACAATCATCATTTCAGTTGCATGGAGCTATGAAATTATCAAATAAATTATAGGCTAAAAATTAGCATTCAAAATGAATGCATTATAAAAAATGTTTATAGCTGTATACTAACAAGAAAAACAAAGTACCTTTGGGACAACTATCACCTGGATGACTGAGAATCTCCATAGACCAGGGGTGAAATTCAGCAGGTTCTGACACGTTCTGGAGAACCGGTAGCGGAAATTTTGAACTGGCAAATACCACCTCTGGCTGGCCCCAGGGTGGGGTGGGAATGGCGATTTTTCACTATCCTTCCCCCAGGAGTGGGGAGGGAATGGGGATTTTGCAGTATCCTTCCCCTGGAGTGGGGTGGGAATGGAGATTTGCAGTATCCTTCCCCTGCCATGCCCACCAAGCCATGCCCACAGAACCAGTAGTAAAAAAATGTGAATTTCACCACTGCCATAGACGCTAACAAAAATGATATATAAAAAGAAGATTTTATGGAAATTAGAAGAAATAAGCTTTTGGCTGTTGAATGTAAAATAGATTACATTCAAAGAGATTTCCTATTCCATCCCTATTTTGAAAGACTAATATTTCTTTTGAATACTTCTCCATAATGCCAAATGTATGAGGTGGGCTGGGTTTATTCAAGATCAATTCTGGCAGTGAATAGAAGATGGAAGAACTATTGGTATAGCTGAGTTCACCCTGGCAGACTGCTGCATTAACTCAGTAGTAAAATGCAAGTTTTTATGAGGCTTAACAGTGGATGTCTCCTGAGAAGGCTTTATGTTCCTGTTTGAATTTATACTATTTGAGATTTTTCTGACAGTGGATGCTTTTTGTACAATCTTGAACAATAGCGCTTATGTCAGATAAATACAATTTAAAAATGGATGAACTCTTGCAGGAATAACAAAATCTAGCACATTGAGACATTGACCAGAAAGTCAAAATGTCCATGTACTGCAAGCTTTTAGGTTCAAATCTGAAACCAGGTGCACAGCAAAATTACATGAGATTTGAAACTTGGCAAGAAAAAACTCGATTGCAGAAAATATGACTACAGTAGCAGAGTGGTCAATGCCTGGAATGCCACTACCTGACTCTGTGGTTTCTTCCCCAAACCCCCAAAACTTTAACCTTAAACTGTCTACTGCTGACCTCACCCCATTCCTAAGTGGTCTGTAAGGGGCATGCATAAGTACACCAGAGTGTCTACCATCCCTGTCCTAATATTCCTTTTTACTTACTCTTTTCATGTATTCAAATTATGTTTATACTTTTACCTGTTATCTTATATATGCTTGACAAATTATTTGCTTGACAAATAAAAAAATAAAGATTCAAACATTTTTAAAACCGCAGTATTTTATAAAATGGATATCAAAATGCAACCCATTTAATCTAAAGGTTATTTTTTTTAATAAAAAAGCATTATTTACTATTGCCACTTGTATTGTACTGAGTTCTGTGAGTTCATGCAGGGAGAACATGGTCTTTTTGTAATGTTAAAGAAATAACTGAAAGATTATAGGCAATTGGTGACATAGTGTATTAAGTGTAATGATAACAAGTGTTATTACCCTGACATGTTGTGATTTGTAGTTAAACACGTTGCAAAGACTGTAAATTTATGCCTCACCTTTCCCATTTCTTTCCTAACTTGGGTGGGGAGGGTTCAGCACAATGAAAGATTAGGAGGAGTGTGATTGAAAACAGTATCACACAATGTTAATCCACTTCACTGCTTTTTCCTCTGGGGGACAACATTCTTGGTAATTTTCTCCTCTTTCTCTCATTACAGCTGCCCCATGATGATTAAATATCTGGGTAGTGTAGCTTTGCAATATAATCTCCTAGGAGAATTCTTTTCATTCCAGCCAGAATCTCTTAAACTAATTTCTTCAACTATGCATATATACATAAACATACACACACACACACACACACACACCCCAATAACACCAAGCCTCATCTGTTACTTTAGAGTGCTTTCTGGTAATGAAATAGTGATATGTGTTAATCTCTCGTGATGGTTTAATCCTGATGTGTTCTAACAATTACCAGTTTTGTAATTGTAATTCATACTTTCCTGGAAGAATTAAATTTAGTATTTTAAATGTACTACAATATATGTTTGTGTAGGTGTGTGGTTAGTTACACAGCTATGCAGATATTAAACAGGAATTTGTTTTGAAAGCATATAAAACTTAAACTGAAGCATTAACAGCACATGTATGCATATTTAGTCATATCTCATTTTTAAAAATGAAGCTTGCACCTCCAGATGTAACTTATCTTGAACATTTGACTAGATTATATTTTCCTTCTACAACTTCCATTCCAGTTTTTATATAGGTTATAAATTACAAAATAAATTGTTCATATTTTTAAAATAACAAGTGGAAAACGCACAGCAGTTAAGACAGAGTGAATTGGTTATAAATCCACTCTTTCTCAGCTGCTGTGTGACTTCTGCTTAATTGTTGATTTATCAGAATTGGAAGCTATGAACAATAGTTGTTTTGTCTTGCCTGAGATTTGTCATATATGTTGTGATTACTTGGCAAACAATATTAACCCGATTTCCACAAACAACGCTGAAAAAGCAATCCTTTTCAGAAATACAAAGCATAAAACTTGGGTTTACATAAATCAGGCTATGACTTATTAATTATATAGTTCATAGCCTGCCTTATTGGGGAAATGGGTAGCATATAAATTAGGTAGGTGGGTGGGTGGGTGGAAGGATGGACGGACGGACGGATGGATGGCAGGCAACTCTACTACCAGAAATACATCAAAATATATCTTCCTATAAGATCTCCCCTCCCTCATATGGTGAATGTGCAGATTCCAGTCATGAATTACACATATCTAATTTTAAACTGTGGCAGAAACCTTTGGCAGCCCCATTTTGGACACTTTCTTCTCTAAGCAGAATTTAAACAATTTTAAAGAAAGTAAAAGAAATATAGCCCTTACCAGTTCATTTTACAGCCCAGCTCAGGAGAAACCATTACTAATGAAGAAACCAATGTCCCAATGACTGAAAGAGATCAGATTGTGTAGAAAAGATTATTCAGACTCACCGATCATATTGTATTTATATGTTGAAGAGATCTATAATCTGAATACATATCCCTGTTATCACCCTTCCTTTAGCCCTCCCCTTTCCCATCCTGGAATGTGGTATAGATGGAAAACAGTGAGTTTGGCAAAGTTGATGGTCTGGTCTACAAAACCGAAAGATTGGGTTAGCATTTGTCTCATCATTTTGACAATCTCAGAAGCATATGCTGAAAGAATGTCATATGTATTGTTTTTCCAGAATTGGTTCTGCTTTAGCTCAGCTCTATGGGACATCTGCTACTTTAGAGCATCACCATTTCAACCATGCTGTAATGATTCTTCAGAGTGAGGTACAAAAAACATGGATTACCTAGTCTCTTCTTCTTTTCTAAAAATAACTGTCAAAAGCTGCTTTATCTAAAGCTGCATATCTAAAAAGGTATTTTCTCTGCCAGCACATAGAAAACAGATTCTGCATTCCATATATGGCACTGAGTTTAACGATATGATTTACGTAATATTTACTCTCAAAGCAAAATATTTCCAAAAAGCAAAAGCAGTTTTATATATTTTAATTGTAAGCTGCCCAGAGTCGCTTTGCAGAATCAGATAAGTGGCATATAAATTTAATAAATATGCTTAAAACGGTTTTGATTTCTTCTTTACAATTAGAGCTGTAATGTAATATTCTCTCTTATGGGGAAATATAAATAAATAATTATTTCCCTAAATATAGGCTGGCATTACCTGTTCCTAATTACAGAAACTATTAATTCTAGTATTAAATTATTGAACAGCATTCATCTTTCGATTGAAAAGAAGTTATTGGGTTGAGCTGTTGGAGTTGAAAAAAAAAAAGGCATTGTTAAAGTTTTGCATTTATGAGGTTGGAAGTTTTCCTCCAGTGACATAGCTCTGTTACTTGAATGCATACATAGAATTTTGTATTAGTATATTTAATGAATTTTGGATGAAGAATTTGTTTCTTGAATTTAGGTTTTGATGTAACTCATATTTACATAACTACTATAAGAAAATATTTACATTAATATAGATTCCTTTTCCAGAATGAATTGGATTTGTCTGGGTAGACAGAAATGAATAGGGGAAAAGCTTATTATAGTAGTGAAAGTTCCAGGGAAATCAGAGGAGGATCAGATCATAAATAGGACTCTATTAGCATATTATTGGATGGAGCCTAGATAAGTTGCCATTGTCTACAATTTATCTCAGAAATTATAGAGAGAAACACACCTTATTGTGATTTATGTTGATTGATTATTTAGTATCCTATGACTAACACTGAGTGTTGTATTTTATGATTATGATCATGATTTATCACTTGTGGCATGTATGTAAGCTGAGAGCTTATGCACCAGAGACAAATTCCTTGTGTGTCCAGTCACACTTGGCCAATAAAGAATTCTATTTTATATGAGTCCCAAAAAATAAATAAGAACATTTCAAGAGAACATCTTCTAAAGTAGACTCAGCCTTAAAGAGGTTGTAGCATCTTTGGCATATTTACATCAAAACAAGTTTTAGTGAAACTGATATTTATGAGGATAGATATATATTTAGGATTGGGTGAATAGCCTAATAGTAATCTGTATTTTATCTCCCTGTGCAGATACATGAATTGTTTGTTTAGATTTCTGTAACTACCCACCTCCTGCCATAGCAATTCTGGGCAGATAACAACAAATTAAAACCACCATACAAATAAAAACCAAAAACAACTAACATAAAACTTCAGTTTTAAAGAAAAAGCTAAAGTTCTTTAGGTTGATATTTCCATAGGTTAATCATCAGTTTATATGCAAAAAAGAAAAAGTAGATGGACAATATTTTTATTTACAACTAGGCCATATTTTCAGTTCAGCAGAAAAAACTAGCATTACATCTTAAGTATAGCAGCTGAATGAAATATTTTTGCAATGATTTCATTACAATTTTTTTTTTTAAAAAAAAGATTTGTTGCAATGGTGAGACACAATGATGATTTATTGGAAAAATTGATTCTGAGCTATTTAGCTTTGCTCTCTCTTTCATTATAGGGTCACAACATCTTTGCTAATTTGTCCTCCAAGGATTACAGTGATCTTATGCAGCTTCTGAAGAAGTCAATATTGGCAACAGACCTCACTCTCTATTTTGAGTAAGTATTGCCATTTTCTAATTTTGATAAATGAAATTCTGAAAGAGTTGCAGTCCTCAACAATGGTGTTTAAGTATCAACTGGAGCACTGGGTACACAATGCTATAAGTTAGTATTTACTTACCATTTTCATTATTTATTCTCACACCCACAGCTATGGCATCCTTTACAGCAGGGTTGGGGAATGATGGCCCTTTTATAACTTGTGGACTTCAGCTCCCAGAATTCCTGAGCCACCCATGCCAGATATATTCTACATATGAGAGCCAGGATAGCTTAGTGATTAAAGTATTAGACTAAGACTAGTTAGGCCCAGTTTTTGGTCCACCTTCGGCTACAGGAATTGCCTGAGAGAAACGGTCATTCTCTCCCTCAGCCCAACTCCATCTCACAGGGTAACATTTTATATTAAAACCAGGAGTTAAATAATGAAGTTGCTTTATCTTCTAATCTGATTTTATAAGGCATTAGTGAGACCATTAACAATTATTTGAAAGCAAGTTGTTAGTACAGGTAGTCTTTGACTTACAACCATTCATTTAGTGACCGTTCAATTTGTCAGCAGCACTGAAAAACGTGACAAGACCGTTTTACACATTTATGACCATTGCAGCATCCCCGCGGTCATGTGATCAAGATTTGGACGCTTGGCAACTGGCTTGTATTTATGACAGTTGCAGTGTCCTGGGGTCAGGTGATCACATTTTGCGATAAGCAAAGTCAAAAGGGAAGCCAGATTCACTTAACAACCATATTACTAATTTAACAACTGCAGTGATTCACTTAACAACTATGGCAAGAAAAGTCATAATGGGGCAATATTCACTTAACAACTGTCTTGCTTAGCAATGGAAATTTTGGGCTTCATGAACAGAAAGAGGAGTCCACCTCCTGAGATTACCATGTTTTCCTTAAATTTTCCACTTGTATAGTTGAAATTTGACACAAAATGGGTGACACAAGTATAAAATATGACACTTAGGAATATGTCTTTTCACTAATATATAAAATGTATGTGTAGGAAGATCACATATGGAAACTAGCTGCCTAATCTATTTTTATATATCCTTAAGACAGACAAAACAACTGGGAATGCGTTTTTCAAATGTGATTTTGCTTTTTCAGGAATCAAAAGACATACTAAATAGTGAGCTTCTTATTTTCAATAGTAATAAAAAGATTCCACCCACAAGACAATCTTGTGTAGTGCTGACGCAATGCAGATTTGCCTTTGAACAGTTAAGAATACGATTGATTTAAACGCACCTGTTAAGTGTACAGTTGTGAAAATTGTAATCACTGCAGTACTTATTCCCAGAGGGATTGAATGAATCTGCATGAGAGAAATGATATTTTTTTCTGCCAGCATGAATTTGTATAATACTAGAAACTTCCAATGCTCCAATGATCTATATAAACTAAAATGTACAGAAAACAGTGAGTAGTCTGAGGCTTCGTCACTAAGAGGGAAGAAAGGATTTGTTGTTCTTGGAAGGTTTTTTTTCCTCTATTATGTATTACAGTAGTATATAATGACTCGTGCATTAATTAGATGTTGTTAGATATTGTTTAATAAAAAGAATCCAGAACATGCCTGTCATGCATAATTTGTGTATGTACTATTGTTGCTCTCTAGTCCATCTAGTGGCTAGAGAGGGGTCCCCAACTCCCGGTCCATGGACTGGCACTGGTTTGTGGTATGCCAGCAACTGGGCGTGCAAGCAAGCGAAGCCCCATCTGTGGGATGCATCATGCAGAACCACATACAAAACCACGGTCCACGGAAAAACCTTTCTCCATGGAACTGGTCCCTGGTGCCCAAAAGATTGGGGGCCGCTGCTCTAAATCATTTGGAAGGGATGAGATTGAAATAATATCTGATCAAGGGCTATGGAAGATGCAGAAGTTTAGAGAGTTAATTTCAGACATTGTGCATTTCTATTTGAGGGAGGGAAGTAAATATTAAGTAATAGGTTTCCATCATTTCTGTCCTTAATTATTACAAATCTATAACTGGCAGCATATGATGAATGGCCTGTTAAGAGACATCTCCTGCAATTATCACCTTAACTACCTGGAACAATCTAAACTACCGTATTTTCCGGCGTATAAGACGACTGGGCGTATAAGACGACCCATGACTTTTCCTGTTAAAATATAGGGTTTGGGCTATACTCGCAGTATAAGACTACCCCTCTTCCAATGCACACCAAATAAAAATTAAAAAACATCAACTGGCTCACCCACAATGTAAAAGCAGCTGTGCTAGACCCAAAACGGCCCCTGCAACAAGCAGGAACCTCACACAGCCACAAAAAGCCCAAAAAAACAACTTTCACACTTTACACACACAAAATTCCTCATACAGCTTTGTGAGATTTTGTGTGTTTGTGTAGTTAGAGTGAAACACTACAGAAACACACTAAATCTCAGAAAGCTGCACAAATATTATTTTATTTTATTTTATTTTTATTTTTATATGAAAACTAAATTTAAAACTTCCTAAACTTTAAATGGCTAGGTCTAAAAAAGAACTAAAAAAAACCCCAATTAACTATTTTTTTAAAGCTCCCAAAGGGGAAAAAAACTTACCCAATAGAACAGGGGTCTCCAACCTTGGCAACTTTAAGACTTGTAGACTTCAACTCCCTGCCTGCTTGATTGCAGGCAGGGAGTGGCTTGCTGATGGAATGGATTCAGGCAAGCGAAGCAAGGCAAGCGTTGCGACTAGCAGCTAAGGTAAGCAAGCTGGAGGGGGAAAACTTTTTTCCTTTTACATGGCTCTGGCGATCCCAGCTGCGTTGCCTGATTAGCAGGCAACTCAGCTGGGATCGTCAGAGCTTGGATCGCCAGAGCAAAGGAAAAAAGTTTTTTTCTTTTATATGGCTCTGGCGATCCCAGCTGCATTGCCTGATTAGCAGGCAATGCAGCTGGGATTGTCAGAGCTTGGATCGCCAGAGCCATGTAAAAGGAAAAAAAGTTTTTTCCTGGCTCTGGCGATCCCAGCTGCGTTGCTTGATTAGCAGGCAACTCAGCTGGGATCGTCAGAGCTTGGAATGCCAGAGCAAAGGAAAAAAGTTTTTTCCTTTTACATGGCTCTGGTGATGCCAGCTGAGTTGCCTGATTAGCAGGCAAAGCTGGGATCGTCAGAGCTTGGATCGCCAGAGCCATTTAAGGCTCGTCAGAGCCTTTCGGGCTGGTCTGCCTGGTTACAGGAGAATGACACCCGGCGTATAAGATGACCCCCGACTTTTGAGAAGATTTTCATGTGTTAAAAAGTCGTCTTATACGCCGGAAAATACGGTATATACTGTAGGTTGTGCTAATTTTTACTTGTTATAATAAGGATTATTTAGCGCATTTTTTTTCTGTTAATTTCCGCATAGTGGGCATGAATTTTCATACATCTAGTCCTGATCTGACTTTTCCCATAAGCCGTTTGATAATATGGAGGCTGCAGCTTAATGAAATTTTAAAGTTTGATTTGGATATATGCGGATGTGTTGTGTTACTAGGCCTGGGACGTTTTTTCTTTTGTTTTTACTATTTAATTACTGCTTTTGAGCACCTAGGATATTGCTGCCTAAGATGGGCAGCTATACAAATATTTTAAATAAATAAATACATATATATTATAAATACATGTCTTTTCCCTGTTTGGTTTGTAATATTGTAATGTTTGATTACAGGAAGAGGACTGAATTTTTTGAACTTGTCAACAAAGGAGACTACAATTGGAATGTTAAATATCAACGAGAGGTATTCCGGTGAGATCTTTCTCTTGGGTAAAGTTCACCTGGCATAGGAATTGAGGCACTCTGCAAGGACAAGGGGCCAAATTCCTCCCAGTGGCTTTAGAAGTGCACAGTCAATTTCTGTACATCCTAGAGGTGCAAAACATTTTTAATTTGAAACATTTCATATTGAAAACATCTTATCTTGAGCCTAAAAGTGATTGTTTTGAATTCAGAATTGGTTGTTTTAACATTCTGGAATTATTTGGAGGTCAAAACATTTCCGGAAAGGTCAAAACAATCCATTCTGAAATGGAAACTGCTTCCAAGTCTAAATGTTGGACACCTTTGTCAAAGACCGTTGATTCTTGAGTCGATCTACATTTGACATTTTAAAAAATGTCTTCATTACCACACTTTTAAAGTATTTACAGTGAAGATTATGATCATCAGGTCTTGTATTCTGGGGTTACCAAATGTCCTGATTTCAGCAAAGCGTGGAAATTCTCTGAATATTTGCTCTGATTCCTGAGATCAATAATGTATGTTTGTATTTAGCTATGCTCCAAGGCTACTTTTTTTAAAAAACAACAACAGTACATCTGATATCAAAATATAAACTGACAACAAACCTGTACACGAAAGCCTAAAACAGTTCATGTGAAGGGAGCTCCTACAAGGTGGCTTCAAAGAGCCATAGCTATTGTTAGAAATTTGGCACTCCTTTTTTTTAAAAGAACAATTGAGGTTTGGTCATGTTAGAGGAAGACAATGAAACATCCTTGTGTTTATTTGTTAAATTTAGATTGCATATTTCCATCATGCTTCCCTTTTCCTTGAACAGTCACAACACCTATTCTCCCATGTTTCATTTCTTTTGGAAGGAGAAATCTCTAAACACTTGAGGTGCTGGTTGAATATTTTAATGTATTTACAGGTATAATATTGGGGGATATGTGAATAAAGCTGCATAGCAACCCCTACAAAAAAGCAAACCCATTAGCTGATTCAGTTCATATTCTCTGTTAAGGCACATGGGTACCCACAGATGATTTTAATTGTCAATTTCTCACATGCAGGTAGAGTTACTTTCGCCTATTGTCTCCAATTTAACTATTTACTGCCATTCTTTTTCCATTTATTTATATTATCTTTCTTAAAAACAGGCTTTTGTTTTAAATGATTTTTTTTTAAAGTGAAGACAGCCTCGATCATGTAGTTACAACCACTATTTTAACTTTTTCAATGCTCCTTCCAAATGCCTCTGATTGTGTCTTCCATACACAGGTATGGAGAAGGTACACATTGCAGAAAATGGCCCCTTCTTAAAGCAACCTTTGGGAAGAAAAAGCTGGTTTTTTATTTGTTACATGGGTCATAAAGGCTCCTCTAAATCAGTGTTCTTTTATGTGGTGACCTCCAGAGACAGCTGAATTTTAACTCCCATAAAGCATAAAGTCCTGCCTTAGGCATGAAAGCCAGCTGGATGACTTTGAGCCAGTCACACTCTCTCAGGCCATGATATTAGACTCGGGCAATAAGCCGGCTGGATCAATTCTTGTTGCAAACCATGGCTCAATTTTTGGTTGATCCAGAAAAAAATAGCAGACCCTGCACTTGTGGGAAAACACTGGGAAGGAACAAAATGCATAAAGCTATGTAGACTGCAAATTATGTGTACAGGTAGTCCTCAATTTACCTCAGTTCATCAAATGACCATTCAAAATTACAATGGCACTGAAAAAAGTGACTTATGACCGTTTTTCACAGTTATGACTTTTGCAGCATCCCCATGAACGTGATCAAAATTCAGATGGTTGGCAACTGGTTCATACTTATGACCGTTACTGTGTTCCAAGGTCATATGATCACCTTCTGACAAGCAAAGTCAATGGGGAAGCCAGATTCACTTAACATCCGGGTTACTAACGTATCAACTTCAGTGATTCACTTAATAACTGAGGCAAGAAAAGTTGTAAAATGGGGAAAACTCACTTAACAAATGTCTTACTTAACAACAGAAACTTTGGGCTCAATTGTCATAAATCAAGGACTACCTGTGGTGTATTTTGACACACCTTCATAGCATGAAGTTTGAGAAGGCTAATTTAGATGGTCCACTGCAATCCTCTTTATACCATAAGAAGCTCTGTTAATATGTTCAGACCAGGAATATATAAACATCAGTATCTAGGTATTTTCATCTGTGGGGGAATGAAACATACTCATGAAAGGAACTATTCTTTAAGTCTTTGTGTTTTAGATGAGGTATAGATAATTTTCTATTTTTCCATATTTTACCCATTTCTGATTTTAGAATATGAACAATACATTTCCTTTTTTAAAAATCCCCAGTATTCTTGCTGTTCTTCTGGGCTTGCTTATAGTTTAATATGCTTTGTGCTTTGTACATAAATGCTTTCTCCATCTGAGTAATTCTTATCTCCCAACACTTATAAAACATATTTGTAGCCAGGTATTAACTACGTTAAGATGGAGTAATCCTTACAATAATCTTGAATATTTATTGTGCACAAATGATAGAAACTGTTCAAACAGTGTCTGGAATGTCTCTCACCATAAGTACAGTAGCCTGTTGTAACCAGGCAAACAGACTACCCAAAGCTGTATATATTACATAATTTCCTTTTATCATATCATGGCATTCCAATACCCAGTGTTCTATATTATGACTTTATTAATCAAACTGCAACAGCAAAATGAGTAGTTAGTCTGCAGTGAAACATGCATCTTTTGTAACACTCAATAGTTAGCATTGAAAAGTCATTATTTGATTATATCTATAATGCATTAGCTTTCCTCTATCTAATGATATAAAAATAGTGACTATTCAAATTCCAAACTGTGCCATGCTTTAAACTGGCGAAGAAGGTGTTACGTCTGCCTCTTAAAAAAAACCTCATGTATTCAGGATGAATCTGTTTAGAAAACCAACAAAGCTTTGTTCCATTTTTATTGTTCATTTCTGTTTTTCAGATCAATGCTAATGACAGCCTGTGACCTTGGAGCTGCAACTAAACCATGGGAGATTTCAAGACAGGCAAGTCATGATTAATAGCAGCACAAGAAAGAGGAGGTTCTGTCCCAACAATTTTCCCAGGAACCTGACACGGAAAGGGCCAAATCTGCAGTCAGGTTACAATACCATTGCTTGCATTAAAAAATACCACAGATCTTCTGCGACATGCAGTTTATTGCCCGGTCTTTTTCTTTTTTCTTGCTATTTTTCTGGCTATTGCTTAACGCACTGTAAGCCGCCCTGAGTCTCCGGAGAAGGGCGGCATATAAATCAAATTAAAAAAAAAAAATTGATAACATTTAATAGTATTAGAGTATTTCAAGAGATTCTACTTCCGTAATCACATAATCAATTATGATGAACATTTGCATTTTATTAAAAATGTGAATTTAAAAAAAGTTGGTGTACCTAATTGACAGTGTTTTAAGGTCCATGCTGGCATAAAATAGTGAAAGCAAAGGCTTACCATAAATCTTTGTGGAAGAACTTTATTTTTTTTCATTCAAAACTTTACGTAAAATTATTTGAAGGATTGCTTCGCTTATTTTTACCCAACTTGATGCATTCATCTGAAATTCCCATCAATTGTAGCCAGAATGGCTGCTATAGCCTTATTAAACCTGGTGCTAGCGTTTGTTTTTCTCCATAAGGCACAGTATAAAAAATAAATCATTTATTTATATGCTACCAGACTTACGACTGGTCATCTAGTGTCCTGTCAAATCTGGTTTAAAAAATGCAGCCACTGTGATCCTCCAGTAGTCACATGAGCAAAATTTGAGTGCTTGGCAAACTGCTTGCTCTTATGACTGACATCAGCAGCACTGTCGTTCCCCCTGCCTGTCTCCCTCCCCTGTCCCCATGTGAGAACAGGACTATACTGAACTAGGACCAGAGCCGTGGCACAGTGGTTAGAGTGTAGTACGACAGCTGCTTCTGCTGACTGCTGGCTGCCAGCAGTTTGGCAGTTGGAATCTCACCAGGCTCAAGGTTGACTCAGCCTTCCATCCTTCCGAGGTGGGTAAAATGAGGACCCAGATGGTTGGGGGCAATATGCTGACTCAGAAAACCGCTTAGAGAGGGCTGTAAGGCACTGTGAAGTGGTATATAAGTCTAAATGCTATTGCTATTGCTATACATTTATTCATTTAGTGAAATCTTTCTTCTTTCTTTATCTTTTATTAGATTTCTATACCGCCCTACTCCCGAAGGACTCAGGGCGGTGCACAGCCAAACAATAAAAACACATACAATACAAAATTTAAAAAATAGAATAAAATCAAATTAAATAATTTTGGCCCTGACAAATTTAAAACCCCAAACTTATTCTATCATATCATATTCTAAATTGAAAAGGTATGAATTATGGAATGTTTTATGCTAAAGCAGAGTTGCAGTTGCTGAATGGCAGTAAAACAATGGAAATAAAACATGCAAGAGAATAAATGGGTGCTTAATAAATTATTCAACATTGCATGTGGAGGAAGAAATGGCTGACCAACCCTTGGTTGTTCGGAAATGTGAACGTGCGTTTGCAGTGTTGGCTGAGAATCCCAAGGATTTGCAGTGAATGTTACACAGTTGTATGATGCAACAAGGAGGATGGATTTGAAATTTAATGCATCAAAGAGAAAACTACAAAAATGAATGGCATGTATGAAATGAACATATTGAAGTGGCTGGTCATGTTAAGAGAGTGAATGAAGAATAAATTAGAAAACAAGTATATGAAGGATGAGCGAATGTATCAAGAAAAAGTGGGGGGGGGAAATCAAGGAAGTCTTGGTTATATGAACCTAATGAAAACATCAAAAAGAGACAGGTGAGAGAGAAGTTTAAACAAGGGAAAAGGGTATATGAAGCATGTTTGAAGCATGGAGGGTTTGCAAGGGTTAAAAAAGTATTGAAAGACATAGTGAAAGTTTTACCAGGTAGTAGAGTAAGCTATGTTGTCTTTTTTCCAAACTCATGTTTTAATTTCCTTTATTATTTATTACTCGTTTTCTGCTCTTCACATAACATTGCATAGCATGACAGGCATGCATTATGCCTAAGTATTCACAAAGGGCATCAAATAGTCAAACACCCATTTGTACTTATAAGTATAAGATTATACTTAATCTTTTTACTTAATAAAGGCTTTAGTCTGGATTAACAATTAACAACATAAACCATAATTTGATCTTTTTGTATGTGTTTTAGGTAGCTGAACTGGTAACAAGTGAGTTCTTTGAACAAGGGGACAGGGAGAGATCTGAACTGAAACTCACACCTTCTGTAAGTTAACCACTTTGGTAATGATCTGTTGCTGTAGAGTGAGCAAACATAGTATAATCGTCGTGTGATATGATGATATGATATAATTAATATTGTAACTTTCCCACTATCAGTGTATAATAACTAAGCTTTGGATTCCATTCCGAAAAGATAATTATCAGATCTGGGTTGCAAAACCCTTAGACAATCACTAGATGGCAGCAATAATTTACTGTTCTTCATGTTGTGCCATCTGATGGTCCTAGGGATTTTTGCAGCTCCACTCAGATAACCATACTTGCCAGAAGTGTGTGAAACTGAGCACAATGGAAATTATTTCAGAGTGGAAGCAAGAAGAATTGCATTGCACTTCTCCGAAATGAATAGCAAAAATAATGCTTCATATATTTATTTTTTCCTATTTTCCTATGCAACGTAAATGCCAACAGTGGATTGCATTTGTTTGATACTAAGGAATTAAATTGTAAAGCGGTCAAATAAATGAAACCTCTACATTCCCTAAACAGGGCCAGAGAATAATAAATGGTTTATTTTTCATTCTAGACAAAAGACAGGAAAATGTGTGTAAAGATTGATTATGGTTTTCAAAGTATTCCGTTTATAACAATTTGATCCTAGATCCAAAATATTGGATGAAGCAGCTTCTGTAAAATACTCTAGAGTAATAAAGCTTGACACATTCCTCTTCTCCGCACAGGCTATATTTGATCGGAACAGGAAAGATGAACTGCCTCGATTACAGCTGGAATGGATTGATAGTATCTGCATGCCTCTCTATCAGGTAATTGTGCATATTGCTGGTGCAGAGTTAAAAGAAGGCCCACGGGTTTTGCCTCTCAGCAAAAGGAGGGGGGAGGAGGAGAGGGAAATGACATAACAATTTTTGCAGCTTTTTCCATCTCACAGACCCTATGCATTTCATTTTCCTCTCCTGAGGCATAAACTACACTTGATAAAGCAGCAAAGGTACTTGTAACGGAGAAATCTATGCAGTGAAATGAGTAAATATAGATCAGGACAAAAGCAGTGCGGTCTGTCAATAAAGAAAGCAAATCAGATAAGAAATCATTGTCTTCCTCTGCTCTTCCCTGGGTTTCCTTCGTCTCTACATCCCTGTTCTGAATCTATTGGGTTTGGTTTGTAAGTTGCAAGAACCATAGCAGCGTTTTGTATTTTCCTCCCTTGTTTATTTGTGATGAAGACAATTATTGTTATTGTTATTATTAGTATTTTTAAAAAAATTTCAAAAAGATAAAACTTCCATTACAACACAAACAAGGCAAAGTATTTTCCTTTTTAAGCAAGTGCTCCATTTCAGAGTTACAGACAGTGCTCTGCTTGCAGTCCGGGTACATCCTGAGAGGCTTTTTCAGCAGTCTGTTTGGTTTGCAAGTCCAACAAATGTAAACGCCTGTGCAGTCTGGTTCTTGCCTTGCATGGGTGACAGCACCATGGTAAAAGCTGGCAGTGATGGCATAGGCTCATCCTCTGGAGTAGAAATGGCACATTTCTCAGCTTTCCTGAAGAAGCAGCCCGGTGGGCTTTGAATAGTGGCAGGAGGAGGGCAAGAGAGGGAGGTTGAGGTTCCAGTGAACTACAGATATGTGTGGCATACGGAAACCAAACCCACTTCTCCTAACCATCGGGTTTGGATAAGTTTATTCATATTGACAAAAGTTTTCAACTCAACAGTATGTTAGTGGAGTAAGGTCTGTACTTCTAAAATTTGGAGAGTATGTGCTAGTCAGACAAGAAGCACTTAGGACACTGCAGAAAACTACAACCTGCAAAAGGAGACACTTCCATATTTTTGGCCAAGATTATATTGGAGGACTTCTTGTTTAGTTGTTAACTCAGATTCCTCTGTGCAAGTCCTTTATGGAGCAGTCTTTTCTGTAGTGCTTTTTAAAGCAGGTTTTGAATTGACTTGCATTTCAATTGTACATTTTAATTAAAACATACCAATACGGGTTAATATCGATGCTAGTAATTTTTAAAATTGTTTTTAAATTTATATTTGAGTTTATAAATTTTTATATTGTTGGTACTTATTTTTTCAAAAGAGTTCTGCAATCCATTTTAATGGCATTCAGGATTAATATACTTCTTCAGCTGCACTTAGAATAGTTTCCAATAGACCTCATATTACTCGAGATTAGAGGAAAGAAGCTGGATTGATTTATTTGCATGTTTATTCATCCATCTATTCATCCATTTCTAAGCTTACTCAACTCCAAATATGACCCTGAGCGGGTTCACAAAATTAAAAACATGATATAAAAAGGAATAATGAAGAAAATCATCTACCACACTCACCAATCATCCTGACCAAAGGCTTGATGGAAAAGCTCTGTTTTTAGCGCTCTTTAAAGGCAGGTAGCAAGTTTCTGGGGAAGATGCTGTTTCAGAAAGCAATATCTATAACAGAGAAGGCCTGCTTCTTGGATCTTGCTAGATTACATTGCTTAGTTGATGGGATTTAAAGGAAGAAGATTTCTATCTGATTGTTCAGGAATGACAGACACTATGGGACCAGATAATCCCCCAAATAATTAGGTCCTAGGCCATATAGGTATTTATAGGCGATAATCAAAACCTAAGACACAACACACAACAAAATGTATTAAAGACAAAAAGTATGGGAAATGATTTTGATGCTTCTGATAAAATTCTATGGATAGGACCATGATGGATACCAAATGAATCTTGTGCAGGGAAGGTTTTATAGGTAAGGATATTACTAAACTCTGGCCCGTTCAGGAACAATCTATTTCATCTCAGATATTTGATGTTGGAGAAGAATCATGAAGACATAACATAATAATTATTTATAATATTTTGATTTTCAGCAGATTGAGGGCCTAATCTACCCCTTAACTCTATAGCGATCATGTAGCAAATTGTACAAAATATTGTTTCAAGTCAAGTAATTGCAATCTATTAAATATCTTATAATAAACATTTGTTATTGTTTTATATAAATACTACAGTGCAATTAAAAAGAAGTTAAGTGGGGGAAGAAGTTATGTGATGAAATAAGACAAAGAATGCTTCTTCAGCCAGAAGTTGTATGCTATTTGAACTAGCGTTTTTAGCCCAGGAGAGAGAATAGAATTATCCATGGAGATAAAGAATGCTCAGAACATTCTTTCTGGATGAGAAGGTTGGATATAACAGTTAAGGATTCAACTTTATACAAGCAGAATTTTACTAGCAAACAGAGATACATCTAAATGTCTTTTCCCCCCTCTGTTCATGCTGTATAGCTATTATTCCCCTTTTTATTATTACGGCATCGTCTAATGCCATACTACCCTAAGGGGTAAACAGAAAACTTGATGTCATAGTCACATACTGGGAGAGATGCTCCCTAGAATATAAAACTGACTTTTAATTTCCAGTACAGCCACTGTACCAATGATGCATGGAGACACTGTAAATCCCATTTACACATGGTTAAGAAACCCAAGTTGGAGCTTCATGCTCTACAGATACCCCAGGCTCTGAGTCTCTCTCTCTCTCTCTCCATACCAATTTATTTTTCAGTGGTAATAAATGGTCTAGAACACGCAACATAGAACATTAATGACAATAGCAGCAGGACGTTTAGTGTTTATGCAGAATTCAGCTTTTTTTCTTTTCTCTTCCCCCTTTTCCATGCAGTTGCAAAGAAGGGGCTGCATAAAACAGACATGCCTTTTAGAGTTCATTTAGCTCAGACACATTGTCCTTCCCTGTGATGCTCTACTTCCTGCCACTTTTTTTCTTCTTTTTTATGGACTAGAATGTTTATTTGTTAAGTCGCCTACACTGTTAGTCTGGACCATCTTGTAAGATACTAATAATACAGGGTGGCAGCAAAACCAGCAGCTCTGGATATACCTCTCTTCGAGTAGCCAGGGGCATTTGATCCTATAACGCCAGTGAAGATGGAACAGATAATATTTTTATACTTATTATCAGTTTAAATTAGAAAAGTTATATTTTAGATTAGGAGGTAACAGCCCACTGGCAGAAATATCCCTTAGCATCCCAAGATCACTGCACCAAATTATCACCACCACCAAAGGGAGAAATAGCCAAATAGCCAGTGCTGTTTTGTTTCATTTTATTATATTTTACAGAAGACGGAAAGTAATAGAAGTTGGGGAGAAAGTACTTCCATCTCCATTCTTAACCAACTAACCCCCCCACCCCCCAAGTTATTAAAAATATCCAGCCTTGTGTCATTAAATTATTGCTGTTTTCTGGCTTTTAGAAAGATGCAGAGTATGAATTGCAATTGCCAAGCCCTCAAATGTGCACACACACACACACATTTGAAGTTATGCATCTTTTAATGTATATAAAGCCAAATTTGAGAATGTGGATCCTTCTTAATCACATAACCCCACAGGTGAGATAAATGTGTAAAAGACCAGGATAAAGCAGAAACTGAGGAGAGCTTTGCAGGGGGCGGGGGGGGGGGGCAACTAATGAGTATGGGATTGAGAAAGGAAGTTAAATAAAACCTGCCAGTCACTGCCACCACTTTCTGCCAGTTCATCTGAAAGAACACAAACCAATGCATTTGAGTTGATTTGCAAGTTGTCTAATCCAAGACCCCTTTGTAGCTTTTCTCTCTTTTTTCCCCCATCTAAGTCCACAAGAGAATTAAAGGTAAGAATTGAAACACTGAGGTAGGAACTAAAGGATTCCGTTTAGAGAAAAGAAAGTATGAGAAATCCTCTCGTTTTTCCCACTGCTTTGTTATGTGCTGGTAGCAATCTCCTGACATGGAAGAATACCCAGGTCAGAGGCCAAGCAGTGTGCTTCTGTCTGGGTGAGAAGATAAGCAGTTTGCTAGTGACAGCTGACAGCAGCAGCTTGAAATTTAAGGAATCGTTTCGCCTTGGTAGACGGGTCTCCAGCAGTTTGATCCTGAAAGTGGTGCACCCTTTTTGGAATCCCAGATGGGATGCTCCTTTCACAACACCTCAAATAATATTTTGAAAATGTCTGTGAATGCTGATTACAAAGATTAAAAGAAACTGGCTCACTTTCTTCCTAATCACCTAGGAACAGGATGTGTTTCTCATTTTACATTGGCTCATGCAGCTTTTAAATAAAGGTCCCCAGTAATTGACTTCATCAAATAGCATTGATCACAATAGTTCATTTTCTTGGCCACAACCTAACACCTTTTTGTGTCATCCAAAACCTTCATTAAACAACATATAATGTATGACCCCCATGGTTAAATAGGTTTTCTAACTTTCTGTAGCTATTCTTAGTGAAAAGCAAAAGTTTGAGAAGGGAGCTGTACTGTTATGGGGCCAAGAAGTGTTGGAAAGTAAGATTTTTTTGGGGGGGGGGAGAAGCAGTTATTCCCTTAATGCAATTTTGAGTGATGTTGCAAGAACATATTGTTTTAAGGAATAAGTGACATGTGAGATCACAAGTTTTCTCAAGGTATAACATTTTAGTTTTTTTTTATATATATATATAAATGTAATGGATAGAGTGTCTATGGGCTCTGCGTTGCCAGATCCTAAGTTGTAATATATCAGCTGCCTTTTGAAGATTTTAAACAGATGTCTTGCAGGAAGTGGTGAGATCAGTGGTGTCTCCTGCTGGTGGGAAACAGGCAAGGTCACAATAGAAGGAGTCACGGGATCACCATGGGTGGATCAACAAAGGTCACTATAGGCAGAACATGAGAAATGCTTTCTATTATACCATAAAGAATACCAAAAGAGTATAGAAAACACTCAATTTTCTCTCACTGAAAGATACTACAGG